ATGAAATGTTCCTCTTGTCTTTTCCTTGTTAGTTTTGGTTTGTTTGTTTTTAATGGACAAAATGGAGCCAAAAAAACTCTCATCAATCAACTTGAAATGCTGCATACTCTTATCATTTGATTGCTCTGCTTATATTCTCTGTCATGCTTCTTAATTATTTAAATTTAAGTTGGTCTTTGTCATTACATCATGGCTTACTAAAATGACTATAGGTAGCTGATGGATTGGTAGCATAAGTGATCATGTGAAACTGAGAAATGCATTGGAAGCTCGTTGGGATTTGTGCTGTTTTATTGAAAATAGCTTGTATGTCTAATACATGTTTTAAAAAGTGATATACAGAAGTACTTCTATTTGTTGAATGATTACGGATTATTCCATCATGAAGTGCAGGACTATTGCCTTGATAAAACCCAGAAAACACCTGTTCTATTATATGTGTTCTCCTAGCATGCAATTAAGGATACTAAAATTAATTTATAAACTTTTGTATAGCCCTATCCTCAATGTAATTGCACAAAGCTTACAAGGAATTAGAATTTCTGTCCGTCAATAAAGGTTGAAAAGCTATGTATGGCATTCCCTAAAAAGACTGTTACCATTGCTAAATTAATCTTGCATAATACACCAATACTTAGAAATGAATGCAATTTGGGATATAGAACACACACGCACACACACACACACACACACACACACACACACACACACACACACACAAACATGAGACTTGTTCTTCACTTATTGAGCACTTTTCTTCATGTTCTCAGAAGTTCATTGCCTTGAGAGATGACCCTGAAAACAGATAAGTTAAAATGATTTCCCAAATGTCAAAAGCCAAAAAGCAGCATGACTAGTTCTAAAGCCTTTTGAATGGTGATCCTCTTCCTATTATCACTGCCTCCAAACAAGGAAAGGCAAAAACAAATTACCCTGTACAGCTTAGTCACTAGCCTCAATCTCTGCAGCTCATTTGTCTGTCTTATTACAAACCACCTCTCTATTTTGGAAAGAGTGCCATTGTCTGTACAGAATTATATGATGTTTGACTTTCTTGGAGTACTGAATGAAGTGCTTTTGTTCTATTAATTGCTTGCCTGGTAGATATTACCGCAGGGAGAACATTAGCCCCCTGTGTCATTGGAAAACAAAATCCTCATCTGACATACAGAACTCAAAATTTCTGTTCTTTCTCTGTGGGCTCAGATTCAACATAAGAAATGAAAGTGAGAAAATGATCTGCTTAAATCCTTTGACAGAAAGCAGGGGAGAAAATCCTCTGGGTTCTTCGTTAACAAAAAAAGAAGGGGTTGTATTTTTTAACCTACTTCCTTTAAGTGAAAATGAATATGTAGTTGATCCAATAGAAAGTTTGTCCCAAGAATGGCAGCAGACAGAGAAAGGCTATGCGAGAAGCTGTACTTGAGGATGACTTTTGGTGAGCTCTTTCTTTTAAACTTGATGGTAGCATTCACACAGCAGAGCTGTTTTTAAGTTACATTTCTCTAATGAACAATGACTTCCTACTACTTCCCCAGAAAGAATTGCAACTGCAAGCAGATTGGTTTAACTCATTAACTGGGTAGTTCACTACGTTCCTCATCTAATGATTCTGGCTGAAGTAAATGGGGGCTATGTGTGTTAAAACCGTATTGAAAGTGATATCAAGAACACTATTCAGTTTTACTAGGATAATGCTTGTACTTTTCCTATGTTAATCATTAGTACTCGATATTCATTCATCACACTTCAGTATTTTTTTAAAGAATAAAATGATTTCAAACCTTGGATAAGTTTCAGGAAAACACCCCACACCTACTACAGGTTGAGAATTCAAATTTACATAGCAAATGCACTGTTAATCCAAGGCTCAAGTTACCACTTGAGAGATTTATGACCAGGGAGGCTGTGATCAGGTTTTGAATGTGAAGCAAAAATAATGGCAGAAGTTCCAGAATTATACAATCCCCTTTTCATTGACAACTCAAACTTAAACTTGACAATCACACTTCATTAGATATTAATCTTACAGTGGAGACATGAAGCTTTTAAAGGAGCATTTTGACTTCAATTAAAAAAAAAAAAAACCTCTCCCTAGAGGGGAACAATAATGCTGTGTTGAAAGTTACAAGAAGAACTATTAGATCTCGTTAGCTAATTATGTTATTGGTATCCACTTAAGTCTCTCGCTTCTGTCATTTCTTCTTTTCAACTACCAAGGTTCCAAAACGGTTTCACTACTTAAAAGGGAATACATCATCGCTGCCCTTCCCCAGTCTAACTGCTCACCACTTTCCACAGCAATAGCTTCAATCACGCTTCATAAAATCCCCTGCAAGTATATTGTTGGAAACATAAATCAGCAAGCTGGGGTTTTCGTATTTCCGAGGCAAGCCCAGGGATCACTGACTGGAGGCTTCTCTATGGCCCCATTTACAAAAGAAGAAACAAAATCCTGAGTTACAGTAGGGTCTTTTGTTTTATTTTATTTTATTTTTCCAAACAGCTCCCAGTGGTGTGTCTGATACTCGCTGCTGCATCCTTAATTAGGGAACAAAACCCTAACAAGGAGAAACTGGGTTCTGGGATGAGGGCACAGATTTCTGAGCATCCCTGACTTCATTCATTAGCACACATGTCATAGATGTAATGCACGCCCATTGTGACAGAAGCTTGGAGCTTCTGATATGTATCGATGGCTCTGTGAGGGCCACACATTTGGAACTGTGGATAGAGATTTTTCCAGGGATGCTCTTCTTCCAGCCTGCTTCATTAGCGTCAATATGGGCTCCCCTGCAGTCATGTTTCCGTTTCAGAGCTCTTCCTATAACCCCTGTGTATTCTGATTACAAATCAGCTGAATCACAATATATCAGATGCATATTACATATCTAGACCCCAATCCTGTATCTTTGCATGTACAGCTTAAACCTAGGCATTTAAACGTTCTCATATTCCCCTCCTGTCCCCAAATTCAAACACACTTAGCATCTGCAATGATATATGTACAGACACCACAACTGAGACATTCTTTTTCTCCAAAGTGCTCACAATGTAATACCAAATCTGCAGAAACCGCTTCCTTGTGTGCTCCTATATTTCCCCACACTGCTTCTACTTATTTAATTGCAGTTGTTTTCTAGGTGCAATGTTCACAATCTGTTTCTTGCTTATTCACAAATGCCCTCATGCATCACATATGAACAGTTAAACACGATCAACAGCTCTCCAATAATGAGAGAAGCTCATCTATATGGGAAAAAGTAGAGGATAATTTTTCTCTGAAACTGATGGAATGAATGGATTAGGTGGGTGTTATCTTCAAATGAGCATCTCTGTAATTTGTCTAAGACTGAAATACTGCACACTATTTGTACAGGGAAAGGAGCAGCTGCGTACTAAGACACTTTACAAACTATAGTTTTATTCCAGCGTTTGCATTCCTAACCAATTGCTTTTTATCAGCTGCTAACAGTATAGCTTTGGGGAGGAGAGGGGGAGAAATAGGAAGGCATCACATCGAAAATGTCAAGCCCTGCTGAAGAATGATAGAAAGACTACAAGAGCAGTAACAACCAATACTGGGATTAAAATGGAGTTCTACCACCCCCTGCTGGACCACATGAGCAACAGAAAAGAGGCTAAAAGTGCTTAGAATTTGGATATAGTGAAGATATTTTAAACTTACCTTGCCATTTATTATTTTATTTCCAAGTAATCTCATGTCACACAAATAATATAACCTCAGCAATTACTGTACACCACAAAATTGCTGTTGTTTTCTTAACCTTCCAAAACTTTCAACCCATGGAAGATTTTTAACATTTGTCTACCCAATTAAATGTCCAAACTTGTCTGGACAGTTGAGAATGCTTCTAATTCTTGTAAATATATGTTACGTGAATGTATACTGTTGAAACAAGCAAGATAAATTAACACAGATCTCTATACAGATCAGCAGAGCTGGCTTCCAGAAATTGTCCCTTGCGTTAATTGACTAGGCTTCTTTTATTATTTATTTTTTTCCTAATAGATAAGCTCCTACCAATTTTCCACAACCACCTCCAAAACCCCTTACAGGTGCAATGACAATCTTCTGTTATTTTTTTTTTTTTTTGATTTTTTTTTTCGCTGTATTCACAAGGGAGTAGAGGGTCAAAATGAATGACTGCAACACATTTCTAGTTTTATGCATTGCTTTTTCATCTCTCTCTCTCTCCCTCTCTCTCTTACACACACACCACACACACACACACACACACACACACACACACACACACACACACACATATCTATGGCCTCTTTTTAGTTTCCAACATCAATGAGCCATCATTATTCACTTCCTAGGCAGGAACTGGTCTTTAAAAAAAAAAAAAAAGGAAAAGGAAAAAAAAAAAAAGGAAAGGGGAAAAAAAAAAAACCACCAGTCTCTTAAGAACTGAATTTCTTGCACACCAGAGAGACGTTCCACAAACGAATGGAGCCCTGATAGTTTTGGCTGCTTCTGTAAAATACCATCGCTCCCTTCCCTTCCACAACCGCAGATATTTAACTATTAATACACAGCAACACACTCATCGCATAGATCTCATCAGGAAAAAAATCAGAGGACAGGGGAAAAGAAGAAGAAGAAGAAGAAAAACAGCAACATCTCAGGAAAAAGAAAAAAAAGCAGTTTGCCTCCATCTGCCGCTTTACTGATGTGCACACACACTCCCCCAAGTCTACATTTCTCTCTCTCTTTCCCCCCCGGAGGGTCTCAACCTGACATACGACGACAATACTGAAATGCATAATACATCTCCAATGTTAGGGGGCCACTGAATCCAAGAGCCTCAATCACGAGAATCCCATGCACAATTAGCAGGAACTTTAGTTGGCTGGCCTTTAATTCTGCGCTCCCCTCGGTGTTCCCCGCGTGCCTTCCCGGGTGGGGTGGAGGGAAGAGGGGGTAGGAGGGAAGGAGGGAGAGTATATGCCACGAAGCACCGCACTCCTACCTTGCCCGCTACTGACAAGCAACCCGAGCAGGTAGAAGGAGAGGAGGAGGCTCATGTTCAGGACGTGACACTGGTGGACAGTTCCAAAGTTATTAAGTCCAGCCCCGGAGAGAGAACCTTCCGCTGCAGCCACGGCCGCTCCCGCTCGCCCCACGCCGCGCCCGGGGTGCCCCAGCCGCCCGCAGCCCGCGCGCTCCTCCTCGCAAAGTGACTGCAAGCTCCGCTCCGTGCCGCACTATATCCAGGCGGCGGCGGCGGCGGCGGCGGCGGGAGCAGCGGCCGCCGCGGCGGCAGCACAGCCGGGCGGAGGGAGCGAGCGGGCGGGCGGGCGGGCGGGCGGGCGGGCGGGCGGGCGGGCGAGGGAGGGCGCGGGGAGGGAGGTGCGGCGCCGGGCGGGGGCGGGACGCGCGCGGGGAGGAGCGGCCCAGGCGTATCCCTCCGCGCGCGGCCGGGAGGCGCGGGGTGGGCGGCGCACACGTCCGGAGGGGAATTCGTCCGCAGCTGCCTCGTGGGGGCTGCAGGTTCGATTCCCGGGCGCTTCCACTTCATTCAAAGGCGCTGCTGGGATCCCGGCTGGCGTGCCAGCCCACTGCACCCTGTTGGATGGATGAATGGAAACGGGGAGGGGGGGGAGGAGAGAGGAGATGGGGGCAGGGAGAGGGGACGCCGGTCCTGCACCCAGCCCGCCGGTCCTGGGAAGGATCGCGCGTGAGCATGCGGATGCGGGGGTGCGGACGCGGGGTGCGGACGCTGCCGCCCGCCGCCCCCGGTCCGGTCCCGTGCCTCCTGCGCTGGCCCGGCCCCGCCGCCGAGGGAGACGTGCGGCCGGCCGGGCTGCGCCTCCTTTGACTCTCAGTCCTTCGAGGGGGGGGGGGGGGGACGGGGAGGGAGGATCTCGGGCAGAACCTGGGGGCACTCGCCCCTTTCCCACTCTGCCCCCCCCCCCCCGGGCCTCAGGGAGAGCCCCGTCCTCTAAGGTCCGCGGTGCCTGTCTCCTGGGCGAGCTAAGGCGCTGGGCAGGAAGATGGGTCGTTCCCTTCGGACCCCTGCGGAGAGCAGGCTGTGTCTTTAGACGTGTGTCAGGGCTCAGGACTTCCCCTCCCACACCCACACAACACAGGGCACCACCACACCATCCAGGCCCGGTGCCCCGGGGGGAGACCCCCCCCCCCAGAAATGGAAATATCAGAGGTCAAATGCTCCCCTTCACCTGCCAGGCTAGTGTGTGTGTGTGTGTGTGTGTGTGTGTGTGTGTGTGTGTAAATTGAATTGACGGAGTGGTAGCAGGCAACCTCAGAAATAACGCACCTCACCTAGAGGTTGGAGCCTCTTACTATGTCCTCTGGAGGGGGGTATGAGGAGATCTGTCATCTTCGGGTCAAACCTGTAGTGAGAAAAGTGACAGAGCCAGGGGACCCCATCGTCACAGACACCATCTGGAACTGCCCCTTCCCTTGGCACTTGGTGTTCTGGCGCTTGAGGACAATCCTCTGCCTCACTTCGGTCTCCCAGCGCTCCTGAGGGAAGGCCTCTGGGATGGCGAGATGGGAACGGCGAAGGTGAGCAACCTCGCCTGGGGCCCTGTGAGGATATGGGTGTAGCATGGCCTTCGGGAAGGGCAAGGAGCCAGAGGAGACACCAGCGAGCCTGGACAGCCAAGAGCCTGTCTAGGTCTTGTTCTTGCAGTACGCTTTTAGAGGGCATTTACTTAGTTGGCATCTTAGGATGGCTTGTTGAGGAAAGCCATAGATCATGTCTAACCAGTGACCCTCCCACACCTCACAGCTTGATAACCTGTCTTCCTATTTCATTTTATCCCAATATATTTAAGAGGTTCTTTTGCCAAGAAAAAAAAATCACACAAGCTTGTAACTGATTCTGGGCCACAACAATTATGCTTAAGTTCATCTTAACTTCTTTTTTCTTTCAGAAAACAGTATGTTTGTATGTAATAGACATGCATATGCATATAATATATATATATCCCATTTCTTGATTTCTCCAGACGACCAAAAGAAAAAACAGATGCACACACCATTACAGAAGAAAGATAAAAGTTGATCTTTTCACCAAAAACCATGCAATTTTTTTTCAATGTGACACCAAGATGGCTCATTGCCTATCACACATACAATACGCAGGTGCATGCATGCACACAGAGACAAGCATGCACACAGAGACAAGCATGCACACAGCAGCAGATAAATAAGGTCTGATGCTTGTATCGACCTTTATACTACTAGTAGAATTATTGTTTATCTCCAGCAAAAAAGTTGGATTATGCTAGAGAAGAATTGGCAGCCTCTGAAATAAATTAGACATTAAATCTTTCTGCAGAAAAGGGAGAGGAGACAAGGCCTCACTAATCAAACAGTAGTAGGATATTTAAAAAATATCTTTATGAACATACATTGACAAAGCATACATTGTACACAGCTTGAAACAGTTCACTCCTCTGTTATACTTGCTTAACCCCCCCTTCTTCTCTCCGATTGTTTTCAATGTTTGTGGTTTTATTACCCATGCTATTTTTATCACACCAGTGGAATTTCTTAGTAGTTGTTTATCATCAAATAGTGTCCAACATCTCGAAGTCTTTTGTATTTTTGTTTTCGTGTGTGAGAAAATTTCTGTATGTATAAAACAAGGCAAATGGACAATATATTAGCAATCAGGAATAGACAAAGTCAATATAGCTATTTGATTCTACCCATAACTTGCCAGTATTTTTGACAAAGAAAACTGGCATAAGCAGAAACAAAAATCTGCCATGCATACCAGGTTGTAAACCCATAGGAGTCATAAAAGGAACTGAGATTATGGGAAAAGGAAGGAACCAATTGTGAATAAGGGACTTAGGAAGGCTTGTGGAAAATTGGTTTTTAAACAAAAGGAAGAAATTAGAAACATTGTCAGGACAGAGAGGAACTAAGTAAAGCTTGAAGGTAGGGAAGGACACAGCATGCATGGATAACAGAGAAGACTAATGTAAAAATATAATGCAGAAATAGTGACGGTGGGATTGAAGTTGGGGGAAGGGTTTAGAAAACTATTTTTTTATTCAAAAGCTGACATTTAAAACCTTCTCATTATCTAAATCCAAACCTGTCTGATCCAGAAGGAGCAATCTAGTGCTGGGCATGGAGCTCGGTTGGGGAGCACTTACCTAGAATGTGGAAGACCTTGAGTTTGATTCTAACTAAGCACTACAAAAAGAAAAGGAAAAGAGGTGGTCTTCATTTCCAGAGCTAAAGGCTGGGGAACATGCTGAAGATCGACTAGAAATTATCATCCAAGGCTTTCATGACTTTACTGAGTTGTTAGACTAAGTTTATTTGCAAGACACCTCAAGAGCCAGAGGTCACATGCTCAAACTAAATGAACAAGCAAAAATGTACTTCAGCTGCTTCTTAGCTAAGGTAGAAATACTTTTCCAGGATTCTGATCATAAGAATATTCATTTCCCATCATATCGACAAGGTCATATGCCTGCATTTTCCTGGTCTACTTTCCTAATGTATATTTTCTTAATCTGATCTATCTACTTAATAAGTTACAGATTAGGATTAGGGGTAGGTGTAGGCGCAAGTAGGAGTATCGGTGGGGGAGTCGGGTTAAAGATCAGGGTAGGGCTAGGATTAAACTTAAAGTTCAAATGATTTCTATTCAGTCTATTTTCTTATCCCAATAGCATGTTTTCCATAAGAAGACACTGATGGAATATCTGAATACACGAAATCTATGAATGTGACTTGCCTGTGTACGGTGTGTGACATGGAAAACACAGAAATATGTCCTCTTCTTTTATGTTATCCGTCCTTTATGGTTCTGAGATTTTACATTTAAGGTAATTTATCAATTTCTTCATCATCTGAGCAAATGTTTCAGGGGCTTTAGTTAGTTCTTGGTTATTTCATTTATAAAAATAAGGCCAATATGAGCAGAACTCCGGGCACTATGAAAAGCTGCATAGTAAGAAATAGCAACGGGACTGGATGGATGGTTAAATAAAAACAGATAAATCTGATTTAGAAGAATCAATAAAGTGAACATGAGGGAGTAGCAGAAAGATAGAAAAAGATAAGGTGCATTATATGTGGAAATTATCTTCTCAGAGAGATTCTGCCTCTTACATCTTCAATCCATTCTTGCAAAAAGCATGCAGATACATAATCAACACATTGAGCCTAGACATCAATGGTGTGTTATTGGCATTATTTAAACATTGTTTTCATTTCTCTATTCCTAGTGTTATTTTTGTTTACCCTCTCTGTTGACAGAAATCATGTGTGTTAAGATCACACTATTAGGAAACAGGACATTCCATCTGTTCATTTATATTTTTAAAATGTCACAAACCATTATACCTATTCATTTACTTGTCTAGAAAATTGCCTGTTTGGGCCTTTTTTTTATTACCACAAAGGAAGAAAAATATCCACTGTATCTATAAACAAATAGCCTGAAGCCCCAATAAATGGGTGATCCTGCTACTGCCTTCCCTTCTCCATTAAGGCCACTTTTTCTAATGATCATGTCTTTGAGAATAATTTCTACCTTCTCAATACAACAACATTTTAGATGTTTTACCAGGCAATTTGTGAGTGGTCCTTTAGTGGTAGCATTTAGATCTTAACACCTCTTTCCCCAAAATGTCTTATTTCCTTAACTGTTCTATTTGGAATGAAGAAATAGAAGAGGCAGATTTATGGTACAGGGGCACCCTAATTGTCACAGGTTCCCACTTTTTAATTTCTTCTAAGATACATGGGGTCATTTTCCTTCCTGGCTACTTCACCATATTCCCTGTGGGCAAATAAATGCTCACTTCACGGTGAAATTATGCAATAACTGCCTATAATTTGCTGCTTGCCAGAATAATATTTTTTCAACTCTAAGGGAGTATTACATATATATGTGCATATATACATATATATATATATATATATATATATATTCCTTTATGGAGACTTCCCTGGGAAAAATATATAAATGAACAGAAAAGATAATGTAAAAACTATTGGTAACATATTTAGGAACCAATGATGGATGCAACTTTAAAATTTTATTCAAGGCAAAGGAAGAAAGGCAGAAGGAATAAAGCAATGGTTAGCAATGGATGTGCTGTATATATCAAGCATCAAAATGTGAATTTCAGGTTGCCCAAATATTGATCACAACATGCAGAAATCATATTTTTGACCATGGGTAGTATTGACCAAGGTGATGCCTACACAAATCCTGTAGCATTCTGGGCTGTTGCAACAGACTATTTCTGGCAG